AATATTGGGGTCAAGTTCCACTGAAAAGAGGGTGATTTTGAAAAAGCCTTCCTTGAGTAGCTTTTTCTGCACGGCTCATCCTTTCTGCCCCTTCTAAACACACGCCAAACATCAGAATCATGCCAGGACACTTCCTTTTCCCAACCCTAACCCTACCCTGGTGCACAACCCTAACCCTAATATTGGGGTCAAGTTCCACTGAAAAGAGGGTGATTTTGAAAAAGCCTTCCTTGAGTAGCTTTTTCTGCACGGCTCATCCTTTCTGCCCCTTCTAAACACACTCCAACCATCAGAACCATGCCAGGACACCTCGTTTTCCTATCCCTAACCCTACCCTGGTGCACTCCCCTAACCCTAATATAGGGGTCAAGTTCCATTGGAAAGGGGCTGATTTTGAAACACCCTGTCCAGCCCAGAGAGATGCGTGAGATCTTGTCCTCTTTCTCCATGTCCTCCAGGGGAAGTGCTGTCAAGACAGTTCTATAAATTCCAACCATTCAGGAGTGATGTCAGGGCATGTTGAATCGTGAAGGCCCCGTGGCTCTGACAAGGTGGGCGGCTGGGTTTCGTTCTTGCCTTCGTAGATGGTGGCGTAAGTGTAGGTGCATCTTTTCATGTGCTTGGTTGTGGCTGCTTTTGATATAGTTGGGTCGGCACTGGCAGAAGCACACTGCCATCTGCATAGTGTGTTTGTGTCTGTCCAGCGTTTCCCTCCATCCATCTGAAAACCCGTTTGACTGATGCATTAGGAAGCACTGTTTTAGAAAGATGGATCGGGCACGGAATAGAAATAATGCAAAAATGGTGTACTTAACTTTCCAGCTCTGGGGTCTGCAGGAAAAGGAAATCGGCCGTTGGATGTCGGAACAGACTATAAAACGCCCATGAGTGGTAAGTCTTCAGCTCTGCTGCCAACCGAGGCATTGAGGAAAGTCCCGGTTAACATTTCCTGTGAAACACGGCATGCCTTACAGCCTGCTCTGGGAAGATTGCATGGAAAGGAAAGGACCCTTCCAAACCGCCCCACAACATGGTGTGGACTTTAGTCTAATATGCTCAATGATTTTGCAGGGTTTTATGAACTGCAGGTGGCGCAGTGGTTTAAACCGCTGTGCTGCTGGGCTGGTTGATCAAAAGGTCGCCGGTTCGAATCCGCACAACAGGGTGAGCTCCTGTACTCTGTCCCAGCTCCTGCCAGCCTTGCAGTTCGAAAGCATGCAAATGCAGGCAGATGAAAAGGCGCCACTTCGGTGGGCAGGTCACAGCGTCCCGTGCACTTCGGTGCTCAGTCATGCCGGCCACGTGGCCACGGAGACCGTCTGCGGACAAGCGCTGGCTCCCTCGGCCGGGAAACGGGGATGAGCACCGCCCCCGAGAGTCAGGCATGACTGGGCTTCACGTCAAGGGGAACCGCTACCTTTATCACCAATTGCATCAGCTCCTCTGTCGCTTCCTTAGATGAACATTCCAGGACACCAGTGTGTGTTGTTTCTGTTCCCTTCCAGGAAGTAACAGCCCTCATGGAAGCCCTTCCCCCCTGGAATACAATATGCTTCTGGTCATAATCGTGTCTGTGGGAGTGATCACGATCGTGGTGGTGGTGATAGTCGCGGTCTTCTGCACTCGGCGCACCACCTCTCACCAGAAGAAGTGAGCCGCTTACGGAGCCCTTCCCTTCCTCTTTGTTTTTTCCTGTTTTGCAACACAAATTCCGTTACTGATTGCGATAACTGAGTGCCACACACCTTCCCCCTTCCCCCATGCATGCTGTGTTTTTTACGGAAACATGGATTTTAGAAACTAGAAAGTGTGAATGTGTTGATATGAATGCAGAAACTGCCCGTTGTCCTTGGGTGGGTTTTTGATACACCCACCAGGTAACGTATAGAATTGGGTAGCATCAGTGCGCATAGAATAAAGATCGGGCTGTGTCGTTGGGTAAAAAGTGTGGCCTTCATGCCGACGAGCAAAGAGATCAGTATGTTTTGCGTTGCTTTCAAAGGAAGCGGGCTGCTTGCAAGTCTGTGAACGGGTCCCATAAGTACAAAGGGAATTCCAAGGATGTCAAGCCCCCCGACCTGTGGATTCATCACGAGAGGCTGGAGCTCAAGCCCATTGATAAATCTCCGGACCCCAATCCAATCATGACGGACACACCAATCCCCCGTAATTCGCAGGACATCACGCCTGTGGACAATTCCATGGACAGCAACATCCACCAGAGACGGAACTCGTACCGAGGTGAGTTCAGCTGACAGCAAGGTGTAATGTGGCCTCACAGCTGGCGGTGTGCTTTGGATCAGTGTGACTTACGGATTGTATAGAGGCAGATTTTTCTGAGATCGGTAATGTTACAACTACATGCTAATTGGTTAAGTTGGAGTTGTCACCGTTCTCTTCAGAGTAATATTAAATTTGCATGTAATCCATTAAGGAAATAGAATCCACTAGCATTAATATACAATGTAGTATTAATGGAATTATCTGTATCACTGTAAAGAGGGCGCCCGTTCTGGTTTTGGAGCGATTCAAAAACAAAGTGTGCTAATAATCTCTGTGGATTATATTTCTGCAGAAGAAAGTGAAAATGTTCTTGGGAGCAGAATGATTTCGTGATTTTCCAGTAGCACTATTTGTTTAAATTATGAGCTGCTAATGAAATGGATAGACTGACTTTATCACTGAAGGAGAAAGAAGATACTGACTTCTATCAAACTTGGGACTCTTTTTAGTATTGGCTAGAGAAACGGGACTTCTTATAGACCTAAATATGTTTTTAAGTTATCACAAATTGGAAAAAAAATGTGGGGGCTGACACAGCAGGCCCGATGTTTCTGAGGATTGATGTTGTTTTTGGTTTTTCTTTGTTTTTAGGATCATAATTTTGAATAAAACTTTTTATAAAAAAAGTATGAGCTGCTAAATGTTCTCCCTGCTGGCGGGGCGTCACGATGACGGTCTCTGACATGCGTGTTACTTTTCCTTCAGGGCACGAGTCAGAGGATAGCATGTCCACACTTGCAGGGAGACGGGGAATGAGACCCAAAATGATGATGCCCTTTGATTCTCAACCGCCTCAGCGTGAGTCTTGCCTTGAGTTTTACCCACAATGCAACCCGGAGCGAAACATTTCCACTTCCACTCCACAACGCGTAGCAGTAACGTGGTGGACGGGCACTAAAGCTTGCTTGTGTCTGAAACAGATTTAATGCATGGAAAGTTCAGAGGAGAAACACAGGGTTGTCTAATTATCCTGGAAAGGGTGTCAAGGGTGTAAATACCTAGAGAAACGTCAGAACTGAATTTCGCAGCATTCCCATGCCAAAGTGGGATTCTGATGCCAAACAGCTAAATAGCCTTTTGGCAAAGCAACACATGAATAAATCTTCCTCCTGTTTTCTTTCTGTTTGTAGATTTAATGTTAACCAGCAAAATTAATGTTAATCACCCACTTTTAATCATTCAGTTCTGAGTGATGGGTACCGTTGGCATGGGTATGGTTGAATTGCTCTTTTTATGGCAATACCATTAAAAGAAGTTTACTAAAGCACAAATCAAGTGGGAGGTGACAGTGTTTTGCTAGTGCATTTCAAGTAATACGTGTAATACTTCAAATCCATCGTGGTTTTTAGGACTGGACGCATCTCTTTCTGGTGAACTGATGCTTTCCAATGCATTTCACTTTGTCACTGCAGAGTGATGGGGATCCAGGCCCCGTGCCTGCAGTGGGAGGGCCAGTCAAGGGGAGCGCAAAGGTTCAAGGCATCTTTGCTTACAAAAGGTGCAGGTGGCATTTCCAGTCTCTTCCTGGCACGGCCCTTACCTTTTCCCCTGGCTGTCTACAGGCTCCTGTACAGCTGTCGTTCTCCCTCGAGATTCTAGCTGCTCCGGAAGATGCAAAAGGGCATCCACACGGAACTCTGGCTCCCCTTTAAAATGGGGTTTAGACAAGGCGATGGGTGTCTTTGTCAAGGACCCGGGGCTTCAATACTTGAGAAGTTCGGTCGGCACGGGCAGTCCAGCTGCAGTTGTCCTCAAGTGCCCAGCAAGCTCCCACGAGCCAATTTCCAAGCAGCTTTAAAACCCAAGTTGCCGTGGGGCAAGGCGGAAACCTAATGAAGGACAAAGTACCTTGAGCCTCATCCTGTTTGAGGGGGTGCAGCTGAAATCGCTGGGTAGGAACGATGGAAGTGCATAATGATGATAATGAGCCTCTGTGGATTACAATAAGTTCAGTGGGGACTGATCGAAATCAAGCAGCAGCAACCGTCAGGGGCTGTTTGCTCACCTTAAGCGTTGTCCGCCCATCCGTCCATGCAGAGACATCTCAGGCGCTCCATGAACTGCTGGTGATCCCAGTTAACTTGATTATATTTTAAACGCTATGTTATGATTCAAGTCTGATCTGAGGGGGTTGACCAGATCGTCACCAGCTTTGTTTTCTGTGGTATCGTAACACAGAAGGAATGTGCATTAGTGGTAGCCACTGGGGGAAGGACGGGAGGGTCCACTATCCTCTGGGTGGCATTCCGGGTCTCTGGCTTCCAGTGTCTGAGTTGCGGTGTCCACGTAGTGCTGAAATGGAGCTTGCTAATGTGTGTCTCACAGAACTGAGAGCATTTTGCATGCACTCAGTGGTTGGGTAACTGCTCTGACATGCCAAGCTATTTCAGAGTAGTTGGGAGCTGTGAAAAACCTCCCCCACGATACTGAAACATTTCTGTGTAGAACATTTCGGGAATCAAAACTAAGCTCACTTGCTGGGTGTGTGCGCGCATGTGTGAGTTTGCATGTGCAGAACAGAAAAGATGCAGGGTAATATTTTGAACAATGTTGTCACCAAATTTTAATCATAGCAATAAGCTTATTCATATTTAATAATCTTCACCATTGCAGTTTTCTTAATGTTGCTCTAATTGCAGGTTGACATAAAATTCAGTTTTGTAGCTCCAAATCGCGTTTAACTGCAGTGTTTTTGATACATTTGGTTTTTATTTGCGTTCTGGCTCACTGACACTCTGCTGTTCCTCTGATGAGGTTCTGTACTGACTTAGCCGTGCCTTCACGATCTCGTCTGTGTGAGGTGGGGTTGCGGTAGGAGAACAACAGAGCTTTCCATAGTATCTCTGGTGTGTGTCTACCGCTAAAGGCTGGAGTCAAGAGGCCTAAGAAATAAGCGTCAGGGGTTTGCTCCAACTTTGGTGTATCATTGCCCCCAAAAGAGAGCAGCTTGCTTGCACGGACACCAGAGGAGCACGAGGCCTCTTCACGCGACTGTTTGCAGTCTGCTGTGTGTTGTACGGAGGCACACAATAAATGCCGATGAGATGTTGGATCTGGTCCTGGAGGAACTCTGAGGAGGCAGTTTAAATAGATCGATCTTTGCTACCATCTGAATGGTGTGTTGGATTTTTGTTTGGGAATCCAGACCAATCCTTCTTTTTCTAACTCACGCATTCCAGTATGACACATTTGAAAAATATCCTAGCTAATGCACGTTCTGGTGCAAATTTCACTCATTATCCCAGATTGCTGCTGCCTTTTATTTTTGGGGGTTTGGCTGGAGTGCACAGACTGACGTCCAGTCCATTTACATTGAAATCTTGGATGCACTGTTTTCTTTTGCTTCTGTTCCTGGTGAACTAGAATATCATGTATCCAGGGAATGAGGTGGCTCTTTCTGTACTTTTTATATCTGTGTATATTCTTTCATTTCTTACTGATAAAGAAAGGGAAAATAAATAGAGCAAGGGAGTGTGGAGGGAGAGCCATCTCCCCCTTATGCCCACCTTTCTCTTTACCAGAACCTTCCAGTCAGGCAGGCTGTTCTGTTGTCTCCATCTGTCCCCATCCATGAGTGTTGGTACTTCTGCAAACTCTGGGGTTTTCCCCAGGCCTGCAGTAGGGCATCTTGCACATGGACGGTGCCGCTTGTCCACCTCAATGCTCGCACTCAGAAAATAATCTCAACATTGGTCAGAACGGTTGTTTGTAAGCCACAGTGTCAAACCACCATTTAAAAAGGCTTTGCAAAACTATTTTGTTGAGCGAAACTTGGTGGAGTCAATGTCTTGGCTTGCCTGATGAGAAGCATCTCTTGATGTTGTCTCTGCTTATGCATCCCATAGTAGCAGCTTTAGCTTGGAACATGGCTTGACTGTGTGTTTGGGATCTTAGCCAGAATTAGGACGACAAATGCATGTTTATCCTTTTGCTTATGCCTAGCCTGTTTCTTTAACTGTTACTCTGTTCCTGTGTTCTTTAATTTCTTGTATTTTGTACTTTGTTTTACCTCTTTCCTAGCTTCTTTGTTCTGTAGCTTTCTGAGATGTATCCTGTTCCGTTTTTCTTTTGTCTTACTCTGTGGCAGACCCTGTGTAGAGCTGTAATTTACCACACCACTGTATCCTAAATGCACAATTATTTTAGTGTTTATTCTTAGCTGATATCAGATATTTATTGCACAAAGATCACCCTCAAATATGCCAGAATTCCTGGCTGCTCGCATTTGCTCGGCACTTGGGTTCTGTTCTGATGTCCTACAACCGTTTATATAATTTGAGTTCATATCTGTACCCTCCGTGATCATTTCAACCTAGAACAGGGATACTGGAAAACCATATGGAAAAGTGCCCCTCCTCTAAAGCAATTGTTTGTAGCGATTCTGTATTTAAGAGGCCGGCGTCCACCGTTCTTGTTCCCAGTGTTATTTCCCTGCAAGACTGACTTCCTTGTTCCGATAACCCAGCGACCGTGCTTTGCTGGTTGGTCTGCTGGGCGAGGCGGGTGGGGGTGCGCTTGGCGTGCACGCCGGTCGTCCTGTGTTAAGCGTTTTCTCTGTCTTGTGTTCATTCGCAGCTGTGATTAGTGCTCATCCCATCCATTCCCTTGATAACCCCCACCATCATTTCCACTCCGGCAGCCTCGCTTCTCCAACCTGCAGCCATCTCCATCACCAGGCCAGCCCTAGGCCAGTGGGCTCATCCGTGTCCCATTCAGACAGGGCTAATTCCACAGGTGAGGAGCTCGACTCGGGGCACACTGGTTTGGAAGGCGGCCATGAGTCAATGCAGTGTGAAGATGAGAGCCTCTGGGACATACTCAGACCCGTTTGGGGGCTCTCTGTTGGGTGTGCTGGGCCCGGAGTCCGGCTGGAGGGGCCCGGCGACCTGCTTGGGCCGCCATCTGGAGCTGTCTCTCTAGGAAAGAAACTCCGCTCAGCTCCGCAGGACCTTCCTTCCGAGTGCACATGCACGGGACCGAGACGTTGGTCTTGTGTTCTTTTTTCCTCCTCCTGTAACAAGCGTTCCAAACATTTTACTCGTTTGCTTCAGTCTTGCAACACCTTCATGCTTGAATGTTGTGGCTGAATGTGCCATTGTGTCGCAGCTCCTACATTCTGAGCCCTGTCATTTCACTGTTTGCAGGGATAAGGGAGCCAGCCCTTTTTCTGAGATGCATTTAAAAATTAATAATGCCCCCCGTAAATTTGGACTCCACTCAGTCAGTCTTAGGTTGCATCTAAATTCCAAGAGAAAGGGTCATAATGACACCTTTCAGCAACAAATGCCAGGACAAACCGTAGATCGCATTAGCCAAGCACGGTCTGAACATGAAAGCAGTGTCTGAAACTCTTGTTTAACCAGCAAGATGGAGCAAAGTGGACCTTTTCTGCTCAGTTCGTGTTCCCGAAGTTTCTGTGTGGAATTCTAACAGCTGCCTGTTAAGAGGCTCAGCCAGGCTGTCTGTCCTTCCGTGTCCTTCCATCGCTGACTGGCTCCATTTGCATTTTAGGACGTGGCTTGAGAATTTGCTGTTCAGGTTAGATTGCTAAATTCTTGCAGCAAAGTCAGTCCTTTGCCTTGAGTCGCTGATAGCTCTGAATGGCAAACAAAGCGCAACTGTTCAGAGAGGATGTCCCCAGAAGCCGGATTCCCAAACATCCGTTCTTCCCATTGCTTAAATGACCATAAACAGCAGATCAGCCAAATAAATGGCTGCTGTAGCATTAAAAAGAAGATCTGTATATGAAGTTGAGGTTTGGTTGAGCCTGTACACAAAGCTGATGTCGCAAAGAAGCAATATTCCCCATATATTAGTATATCACATGTTTCCTTCATCTGTGATTTTTATTACAATGTTTTAATGACTGGTGCATTTTCAGCTCACAGACATTTTTGACATTGTTTGATGCAGTTGCTCAAGTTTAGAATTTAGATTTACACCATTTGCTATCTCTTTATTAAAGCTGTGAATAGTGGCTGTGTGGTGAGGACAATCTCTTGCTATTTGGAGCCTTAATGGCTTCTTCTCTTTTAGCAGTGAGATGAAGTAAGCTGATCTCAGAGCACCTATCATAAACTTCCCTAGATATATACTAGTAATAAGAAAATGGACAGGTTTCAAGTGCCTGCCCCTTGCATAGACAGACTAAAACAGTCACCCGTCCAGCCTAAGAAAAGAGCTCTATTTAAAGACACATTAGTAAAAGAGCAAATTTTGATAACCCAGCAAACAAGCCTGTTTTTTTAATTCAGTAACCTGGTTTATGTGATGGTAAGAGCATTCTAAAAGAGAGTCAATAGTCCCTTTTTAAAGCAATACAGTTTAAATAACAGAGTGTAAGAACCTGCCAACTACCTGGGGTAGCTGCTCAGACCTGGTGCTCTCCAAATGCTTTGGACTTCGAGCTCACATCAGCCTCCGTAAGCTTGGTCAGCGGTCAAGGATGCTGGTTGAAGTAATTCAAAATATCTGGAGCATGCCAGGTGGGGGGCGCTAGCGTCGAGGCCGATATCAACCTACCATAATTAGTAATAATTGCTTGTGCGAATTAGGTTATTCATTCCCGCAATTACGGAGCTTCCTTAGAAGGAGCATTTGTGACTTAATGCTGAAAGGAGTCCTCTGATTCCGCTGAAATGTACGTGGCAGAAGGATGCTTGGGGAGTCTCGCATCATGCGGGCCGGAAGGCCGTGCTGACGCTTGATGACGTGTTGATGTTCTTTCCTAACCCAGAATCTGTTCGGAATACGCCCAGCACAGATACCATGCCAGCCTCTTCATCTCAGACATGCTGTGCTGAGCACCAGGAGTCGGAAGGTGCCACCGGATCTTATCTCCCAAGTACTCAGGAGGAGGAGGCTGGCCAAAACCTCCCCACGGCTCACGTCCGTCCCTCTCACCCTCTGAAGAGCTTTGCTGTGCCAGCGATCCCGCCCGCCGGGGCAGCCTACGACCCTGCCTTGCCAAGCACACCCTTGTTATCCCAGCAGAGTGAGTACCGGAGCATGAATGCTGTGGAGCGGTGAGCCAGGAATGTAGGGAGCAGGTTCCCGGGGGGATGCAGAAGAATGGTTCCCACCTCTGACTCAAAAGTGTGTCTCACCAAGGGGGAAAACCGCATCACACTCCGCCCTGACTCTAGCATCGTGGCACCCTGACCAAGTCCGTTGAGGCTAACCTTGGCCATCCTTCTGTTAAGCTTCTAGCCTTCCGGTCCATTCAGTCAAGACCGCGTCCATTGGCACTTTGGGGAGAACTCGGCCCCCAATGCCCGTCGTGGTACCAAGTGCCCCTGAAGTGCAGGAAACGACGCGGATGCTCGAAGACACAGAAAGCGTAAGTGTGCTGTCGGGAGGCAGCCCGGCCCTGCTTTACGGCCCCTGACGTTTTGCGGCTGATCATAATTCAAATGGAACATATTTTTAAGAATTAAAAGAGGTGCAGTGTCGCTCGCACCAAACCTCAGTTTATGGTGCGATTGGATTGCAGTGGTCTTCAGGCCCTCGTCCCAAAAACGGCTAACTTGGTCAGGACTGGGATGGGCGGCTTGGGTGTAGGATTCTGTGATTATGGCTGAAACTGCCAAAAGCGTGGCAATAGGAATGGGGCATTGCTTAATTTAAGGTATAAGATGCCACACCGTTAGCATCCCTCTGGCAGGCGCCTGTCCATGCCCTGCGTACCGTGCTTTTCCGTCAGGTCGTACTGCAGGAGGGTGGGTGTGGGGAGGGCCAGCGCCCAGTGGCCGAGCTCAGGAGTTGAGCTCACGAGTGCCACGCCGTGTCAAAGAGCCACTGGGCTCAGGAGGGCAGCGGTCCACCTTATTATGCATGCTTTTATTTGCCTTTCTGTGTCGTTGTTTATAGGAAGAAATAGTATAACTGGGCGCTGGGTGATCTAGTCCCTGGCTGATCTAGTCCCTGGCTGATCTAGTCCCTGGGTGATCTAGTCCTACTCCTATAAGTCATATTGATGGTGATCTGGCCCCAGGCCAAAAGATAGTCTCTCAAATGTGGAAGGTTGAATTCCTGTAAAAGTTGAGAGGAGGAAAAAGTAAACTAGGAATACCACGGCATCCGAGGCTTAGATGTGTAGGCCGTGGGCCCTTGTGAGAGAACTCGGAGTTGCTTTGCTTAGAGAGCCTCGTGTTCATTTTGAACAACCAATTTCTCGCTCTCGTGGGAAAATGCTAAAAGACTGAGAGCAGGTGGGCAAGTTCATTTTTCATTTCCAAAGCGTTACTCTTCTTTCCCCCTGAAGGCAGCCTTGACATTTTCCCATGAGGGGGTGTCAGTATTTTAAGATTGCTTAAAGAATAAGGAGATTAAATACCCCAAGTACAGTTTTTCATTTTGCAGGGTTTCAGAAATGATGTGCAGCTCCTACCCATTCCTTTGCTAAGCACTCAGAAAACTTGCCACATTTTCCAGCAGGATTTGGGAACTCCCGGACATGCTCGGGATACAGCAAAGCTGACGCTCTTCTCTCTTTCCTTCCTCCCCACGTCCTCCCCACATCTCATGCCCCCTTTCCCCGATGCCCTGTCCATTCCCTGTGTGCCGGGGTCGCTCGCACGCTGGGTGCCTCTGCTGCCTCTTCCCCTTCGTGCTGCTTCGGCAACATGACGCTGTCCATTTCCGTAGTAACGCGCCGTCTATTAACACGGCTTTGCTGCCATGTCCCACATCACACATCCCCCCTGCCCCCAGGTGCAGCTCACCTGTCCAGTAACCTGTTAAATCTCCTGCAGAATTATGAGCCGGATGAGCTGACCAAAGAGATGGCCCACCTGGAAGGACTAATGAAGGACCTTAATGCCATCACGACTGCATGACCGCCTTCCCCAAGGAGCGGCTCCAGAGCCCGTCTCGTGGGCCTTGGGACTCGGCCTTGGCGCACAAGGAAATGTACAAAGACTGGGCACAGCACAAGGGGCCGCGCGCCCGGCTCGCAGCGCCAGCGCCGGCCAGTCAAGGGACTCTTCTGCTCGTTGCCCCAACGTGACCCCGTTGGCAAGTTGGATTCCCCTTCCTGCTGGGACGACACACGAACAGGGGAAAGGGAGAGGCATCAGGCTGAAATCCAGTATCCAGAGAAAGAAGTGGACTTAGCATTAATTTGGGTCAGGTTTTGTCTCGGTGCTGTGACCTTCCCTGCTTTTTCAGTGTTGGACATTCACATTTATGTACAATTTTATTTGTGTGTTTTTATTTTATTGTATCTTTTTTATTAAACAAAAGTGTAATCCGATGAAAAGGAAATTTGTGTTGTTTCCCACAGCCTAGACGGATGTTTGATTGCTTGTTCTATTGTGTATGGGAATTCATTGCCAGTTGTGGGTTGTTCCGTTTTTTTGTTTTTCGTTTTAGTGTGCGTATAATTACATCACTTTCTAGCAGTTAATCCATGGCCTTGGGGGATGCTGCATTGCTATTTGTAAGCTTTTTTATTTTTATATTATAATTATTAAAAGCCTAGATTCTTTCTCATCACTGTGAGATTAGCTATCTGTTTGGATTGAAATGTAACACTGAAAAACATTTTGCTTTTGTGCTTTTTCAATATGGGGTGGGGTAAGACTTGGAGCGGGAAGCCGGAGTGGTAGGAGGTGCATTGTTTCCAGCAACAATGCCGTACAGCTTTATCCGTGAGAGTAATTGTAGCCATCCCCCAGTATACGCCCAGATGGACAGGTGCAAGGTGTGAACTGAATAATCCTGGACAGTAGGATGAACAATTTCCCCGTCCGCTGACTGGAAAGGGTCCCACGCAAACCACTGCCAGCATCTGCGAACGCCCAGCTCGTCATCACCTTGGTTCATGTGTATTCGTGCCCTGCTCATGCGGACAAAGCGAGCGTCGCGCGAACCAGCCTAGCGCGATGCAGCAGGTCAGGAAGTCGGAGAAGGCATTTTTCCTGTCGCCGCCTCTGCAGCATCTCTAGCCATGCAGCATCTCTGGTTACTAACAGGGTGTTTCACTGAGAAATGCCGTACCTGGTTGATGCTGGGTCCTTCGGGATCAGATTCCACAGAGCTGTCTTTGTTTCGATGTTTCTTTTCAAGGATCTGTATGTTACATCTCAAGTTTTACTCCGGCACTTTCAAGGAACCAGAGGGCAGTCACAGACCAGCTGATAGCTGTGCACCATCCCAGAACTGTTAATCACTGAGCCATAATTGAAGCAAGATGCCCTAGCAGGCCTATTCTGAAATGTAAGACACGGGCTCAGCGCTGGTGCTGCTCACGCTGCGAACAGGGAGGGGAATGGAAATTGTTGAATTTCTGGTAACATTGGATTCCTCTCTGTTAGCTAGTTACTACCATCCCACCGCACTCCATTCCAAAAGGAGTTGTCTCTGCCGTCTTCTGAACACGGTGAAAGAGAAGCTGATAGGTGAAAGGTGCGCTTCTTTTGAAATTCACACACAGACTTAAGGAGTTAAAGGGATGCTGTGAGAGAGGCATAGATTTTATGGGTAGCGTTCTGTGGCAAATCTGTCCGGTTCAAGCGGTATTCCCTCAGGTTTAGTGCTAGCAGTGGACTCAGGAGAAACAGAAGTAGCTGCACCCTCTGAGCTTGCTGGGCCCTGGTTGCCAGCTGTCTTCAAGGGTTCCTCTGGTGCTAACATGATGGGTTCCATCCGATTACGGCTGGAATTGTCTGGACCTGCCCGAGTTTGTAAACCTCCAGCTTCTTTTATGCATTGCAAAGCAGGTCCAGTTTTCTGGAAGAAGTGGCAAGTGGAAGGAAGTCTCCTTAACCCTCCCTACCTCCCACTTTTCATTCCTCCAAGCTGCACCCTTGGAGGAATTGCGTATGCACCATTCCAGAGAGGCGATCGCTTCTGGGTTAGTATGAGCAGATGAATCTTCAAGGACTCCGGGAAGCAATTTAGAAAAATGGATGCTGGCATTTTACTTCTGAGTACGTAAATGGACTAGAGTGGCTTCTGAAGATGAAACATTGAAGAGTAAACTTATTCAGGTTCGCTGCTGTAACATATGCCTAAGAATGACCGTGCTGGATCCAACCAATAAGCCATCTATTTCTGAATAATGTACTAATTGTTTACAGTTCTATCAGAAGTGCCATGAAGATGCAGCGTAGTCCATCTAACTCCACGTTCTGTCTTCCAGTGGCAGCCATCCTGTTGCCTCAGAGACATCGCAAGCCACCAAACGAGGGTGTAAATTCCTTCCCACCATATCCTTCATTTTAGCAGATTAACTGGAAGTTCATTTAGGGCTGGGCAATGGGAGGTAAGTCCAATGTTCGTCCAGAATGGCAAACCTGGGAAAGAGCGATTCAGAAAAAGGTAGAGTAGAAGAGAATTCAGACGGTGGCCTGGATCCAATCGTCTGTTCTCTCTGTGCAGAGGAGTTTTAGGCTGGGTTTTGTAACTGTCCACTTTGTGGTATGCAAGCGAAGAAGGAGCCACGCACGCACCTTCCTCGTGAACCACGAGCAGGAGTCGTACATGCACAGGTACTACAGTGTGCTGTTCTGAATCTGGCCTTTAAGTGTGATCCACGGTCAGGTTGGGTGCCTGCAGCCACTTGAGTGGGAACGCAGGACACATGTGCCACCGAGAAATGCCCTCCAAAGTGCCCTCCTCTTCTAGGGACCGGAGATGTTCTGCACAACGTTCGTACACTGTAGAGGCGATGTTCCCACTTCAACAAGTCTTTTCCATGTGTAGAGTTTGCATCAAATCCACTGAATCCAGTTGGTATGTGTACTCTGCTCCTCGGATATGTACATTTCTCTCTCTCACCTGTACCCAAAGAAATGCCATCACCTGTACTCAGTATTTCCCCCACGGGTGGGTTTTTGTGCATATATTGCTTCCTACACCATGAATGTCAATATTGCCATGAATCTGGGAATGGGGTAGGGGATATTTTTAATAATATAACAACTGTTCAAAGTTGGATTTTTTAAGGTTAAATCAAAAAGAAAACATTTATTTGTCAGTATACAATATGTCTTGCACTTTTCCACATTTTAACACTGTTTTTTACATAACTTGTGACTTTAAATTTAGAACATGGTGTATCTTGTAAGTGTCCTAGCTAAGCTGCGGCATTGCAGCTCCTCCAGTTGTGGGTACGGAGAAGGTGGGGGCGTATATTGTTTTACAGTTCTGATGTAGGAAAATTCTGAGGACTGCTGTAAACTTCTACCTTTCTGTACATTTTTCCTGTAGTATTTGCTGTATACTCTTATAAATTTTTAATACTGTCATGTTTATTATTTGGTATTGGATATCCAATACACTTTTTTAATCTAATCAAGGTCTGGTTTTGTCTAGAGAGTTTTTTTTTTAATGCATTGCCTTCCCATTTTAGCGGTTTCCTTTGATGAGAATCCCAGAACATTGAAGCCTTGGTTTAGCACTGCAGGAGGGAAAGAAGGTAGCATAACTCCCTTTAAATATAGAACACAATGTACGCGAACCCTTGCTAATGATTTTTAAAGGGGTAGCTTAAAGTCCGTTTCGTCTCTGGACCAGAAAGAAAAGGTAAGTGATCCACAGGGTGGTGGTCCATTTATTTTGCTGAGTTAGTTGAACCAAACTTAGAAGAGGCTTTTTATGTTAACTCATCAAAAAACTCAGAGTGGTGTGCATTTGAAAAAGGGGAGCTAAATGTGTTCGTTTCTATTTATTTAAATAGCCTCAAACATTCGGGATTGCTCATAATATTACCTGGATGTTTATTTGGGGTGGGGCAACAGGCCGCTACCAAAGTAACAGCAAATGGTTCTTTTTAAAGTATGTAATTACACAGAGTTGTAGCTAAGGTTGGTCCTGCTTGGAGTAAACCCATTGAAATGAGTAGGACTCCAGTAAGCCTATGATTGGACACCAGAGCAATTGCCTGTCAGGTGTTCAGGGGAAGAAAACTTCGTATCTTGGTGTCGAAAAGTTAGTAAAGCCGGTACTGGGCAGGTACTTCTTAGGCTATTCCACGAGCCACCAGCTTTAAAAAGGCCCTGTCTGGTTGCCACCCGCCTGTCCCCAGCTGCCACGAGACCCCCGGAGGAGCACAGGCAAGCCCACGAGGGATCCCCCCCTTGCAGGCCGTTTAGGGCCTAGGGTGGCTTCTGAGGATGAACCAATGGAACACTTGAAGCAAGCCGGTGAAATCCTTTACAACTGGGGAAACACACTTGTCCCAGCAGGTCAGCAACACTGAAAGCACAGCCACACCTTTCGCATGGTGCCCCTGTGCCATGAGCACACACACCCTCCATCGTGCCAGGTTGCCTCGTTCAGGGCCGGCCCATCGGGTTAGAGGGTTCCCACCTGGAGGCTGGTCGGACAGTCAGAAGACCTCTGCAGGGGCGTGAACGCTGCTAAATTCTGGATCACGAGGCTTCTGTACCTGTATGGCTAGAACATGCCGGTCTGCCCACTCCAGGACGCCGTCGCCTCCGTTGCCTGAACCCCGTTCCTCTGGCCTGAAGTGCGGAGGAGGCCGTAGGAAGACGAGAGGGCCACGCCGATCGTCTCCGCGAAGATGGAGGGACAAGATGGGCGGCCTCCTCCCACCAGCTAATTTCCGCGTCAGGCGGTGCTTAATTAGCCCTTGGTCTCCCAGCCATTAAGCCCCAATGAAGCCTCCTTCACGGCCACTGCTGTGTTGTCACGGCAACCAGTATTTTAAAGATTTCCTAGGAATCCATTTCCCTTGAACTAAGAGGGGAAATCGTCTTGATTGTTATTAAATATAATGGTCCTTGGAGTTAGAAAGTGGTTGGAGGAGTTAGGGAAAAAACACCAGCGGGGGGGTGGGGGGGGGAGTCTGGCCTTCCTGTGCCAGGTAGCCAAATCCCAGGCTGTTTGAAACCCAGGTAGTAAAGGCACTTAGGAGCACAGAAGAAAGCTTTCACCTGGATTTCCCAGCCTGGTGGCTCCCTTTTCGGGAGCCTTCGCTTGAAAGGCAATGCCTCCTCTTGGGCCTGAAATGTACACAGACTCGCTCGCAAGATCGACCTGCCTGGACCAGGTGGCCCGAGCAGCTAACAGGCCCGGCCGGGCACGCAGAAGGCATGTCCCGTCGTTCCCACCACCGTCTCCGTGCATGGCGCCATTTCCCCTGCAGGAACGGTCCCGCACCCTTCCCTGTGGAGTCCTGTCGTCCTGTCCATCCCCTCTCGCCTACTGACCAACTGCAAGCATGACTTGTGACGTGCGCTATGACATTTCTCCGCTGTGTGCACTTTCTGCACCATGGTGTATA